TGCAGGCCCTGTTCAGTGCCATAAAGCTGTTTGTAATGAGGATTTTGTCATCATTAGACATGAGAAGGTGTCTGAGGATTACTGTCACCAGGAATTACAACACATGATTGAAACTTTTAAACAGAGACCAGGGGAGCCCCTGGATGTCTGGGCTGTCCGTTTATATGAGGGAGGGGCAACTGATGTCCTGTTAGACAGATATGAGTCCAATAAATTTGCTTCAGTTACTACAGAACCAGTAGTGCAGTGGGCAATTAGACAGGGTCCTGAACAGACAGATGAGGTAGAAAGCTTTTGAGGCATAGTACAGAGGGGCCTTTGGCACTGCTTCCCTACACAAATTGACTGGCCTGTTAATGGTAAGCCCTGGCATGACTTATCTGATGCCGTTAGGTGGATGAAATATGAGACTGCTAGACTAGCTATAAAAATTGTCCGGTTGCCAGATATAATGATATGCCCATTAACCCCTCAAGTGCGGAAGTTGATGATTAAATATGCCTCTGCTCCTTATATACAGGTTGTGCTGACCCTGCTCATAAATGACAGGTCAGCCAGTTGGGAGAATGGTCTTAACAAGGGGAACTGCGTGCCCCACGGCACCCTCAATTTTCCAGACCACAGGCTAATCAGCCCCCGAGGCAAAGTGAAGCAAATTCCATGCCACTCCATTGTGAGATGTTCTCTGCACTGATAAGAGATGGTGTACCTAGAGAACAGATAGATGGCATGGACACAGAAAAACTTTATGCTCTGTATAAAAAGAAGGGATTGCATAAGAAGGTGAATAATATGAGACAGAAACCAGACCTTATGTTCCCATCAGCCCCACCCATGGATTTGTCCCTACCTAAACCACCACCTTTTGGGGACACAGGGGTTGCTAATCTTCTTTATCCTAATTTGCCTTCAGCCCCACCATCTTCCCCTATTTTGGATTTGTCAGTCCCTAAAGCCACAGCGGGCAGTGTACTCCCTCAACCCTCAGCACCCATTGCAGTTTTAGCTTCCCGGCAATTGGAAGAGGTAGAGCATAAACCTGAGACCTTGGGGAAAAAGTTGGATGCTGCCTTGGATGCTCTGGCTCACTCAGGCCCTGATGATAACAGGGAGGAAATCATGCAACACCATGACAAAATAATTGAGGAGACCATTAAAGAGAATGCCCTTGATTTTAATCTACTTAATAAGCTGTTAGAAGAATCTTTGGCTCATAAGCAGCTAGACACTCTTCCCAAATAGGATGATGGCCAAGCCCCACATGTCCCAAGTATTCAGCAAGTAAATTCAGTAGATCCCTCAATTCATTTTATTTTTAATGCTGAAACCCGCCCCCATTTAAATTAACTAGCGGAATGGTAATATTCAAACAGTTAGGGCACTTGTGGATACGAGAGCTGAGGCCACATTAATTTATGGAGACCCTAGAAAGCACAAGGGATTCCCAGCAGTAGTCACAGGACTAGGAGGGAAAGAGGTAAAAGCAGTTAGTACTGAGGTAGAATTAGAGATAGGAAAAACCCCTTGTATGAAGTACAGAGTTTTGATTGTGACAATCAAGGAATACATTATTGGGATGGACATCTTGAGAGGTATGACCTTGCATTTGACAGATGGCACTTATTCATTTGAAGTTCACAAAGCTGAAGTTAGATTAGGGGAAGCTAAGGACATATTGGTAGGCATATTGCAGATACCACCAGTAATATTGCCCCCCGCAACGCAAAAGGTGTATACAAAACAGTATCGTATACCTGGGGAACATCGGGAGATTACTCAAACAATTGAGGGCCTCCTCAAAGCAGGAATTATAAAGACAATCATTTCTGCTTGAAATTCAGCCATTTGGCCATTGCTTAAACCGTACGGTACTTTTCACATGACTGTGGACTACCGAGCACTCAACAAAGTGACCCCACCATTGGGCTCTTTATATTTTGGAGACAACACATCCCTCATTTTGGCCAGGCTTTATTGCCCCTATATCAGGTTACCCATAAAAAGAAGGAATTTGATTGGGGTAGGGAACAACAGTTGGCTTTTGAAACATCCAGATAGTCCAGCAAGCCCTGGACTTATGGCCCTTATGCCCCGGGGATGTAGATTTGCAAGTGTCAGTGCAAGATTAGAGGGCTAGCTGAAGCTTATGGCAGAAACAGAACAGGAAGTGGGTCCCTTTGGGATTTTAGACCCGTAAATTGCCATAGGCTGGAGAAAGCTATACTTCATTTGAGAAACAGTTGCTAGCCTGCTATTGGACACTGATAGACACAGAACAGTTGACATTGAATCATGCTGTGATTTTGAGACCAGAAATCCCATTTATCCAGTGGGTAATGAGTCCCCCAAAGTCTCACAAGATTGGCCATGCCCAAGAGGCCAGTGTCATTAAATGGAAATGGTACATACAAGATAGGGCTAAAGTAGGCCTGCAGGTGTCTCTACTATTCATGTACAGGTAGCACGTGAGGCCCTAACAACCTCTTTAGATAATCCACATCAGCAAGTGGAATAACCTATGAAATGGGGTAAAGCCTTTCAGTGAATTCATACCTGAAGAGCAGCAACATACTTGGTTCACTGATGGCTCTGATAAATATAAAGGAGCAGAGCACCACTGGAAAGCTGTGGCCTACGGGCCTGTTAACAAACTATTTTTGCAGAAAGAAGGAAAAGGTAAGAGCAGCCACAATGGGACTCTGCACCTATTCAGGAAAATTGTGCCTATGATTTAAGCAGAGTACTCTCACCCCCTTGTGTGTTATTATACACAGCCATCAGGAGGGTATGGAAAGGTTTTATGGATGGTAGAGATAGTTCATCACTACTGGGAAGCAGTAGATTCACGGACATTTGATGGGACAATGGACACTACTCTAGAGGGTTAAGCAACATACACATTTGAAGTAAAGAAAATGAAGGATTGTTTTTTTTGTACTAATGCTACCTTAAGAGAATAACCATGAGTGTAGAGGTGTTAATCAAGTGGAGCAGGTACTGTGGGCCTTTGTTTCCACCAAGGAACCCCAGCCAATGGGAAGTGCACAACTCATTGATTCAATCACTGCAGGCTGTGTACTTGGCTGAGGACCACTGCAAATAATGCTGGATGTGTGCACATGCCCCTCGGAGTCACCAGACAGGTATGCCTTACCTGGAGGTGGCTTTGACTATGCCTGAACTGATCAAAGAGATAAAATAACATTTTACCATAAGAGTGATGGATGATGGATCAGACTCGCGCTCCGCTCCCCCACTTCACCTCCTGGGATTATCTAAAAAGAACAGGTGGTAATTGTACTATACCTGAGGTCAGGTGGCCTAGCTAACAAAACTATGCCAATTACAGTGACATTGAATAGGGGATAAGGAGAAGACAGTGGGCACCCCCAGGACCGAAAGATGGGGAGGATGCTTGGTTGTGCTATTGGTGGTTTGGGAATGTAGATAAGGGACAAGTGATCTTGGGTCTGGCTGCTCCATTAGATCACTCTAGGGGAAGGGATAGACTAGATAAAGGTGGCGGAAACATACAAACTATGCATATGCCAGCACAGGTTGGTACAAGACTTACGGACTATACCTTTAAGTATGATACTAGCATTGCAGGGCATCTGTAGCCCCTCATCCTGCACGAAATGTATATTGGTTGTGTGTGCGCGAGATTAGGGTTTCCAACAACACTCCCCCATGTGAGCAACAGGACTCCTGTGTTTTGGGCTTTTTGGTTCCATCCATCTATAAGGTGGACACACATGGCGCGCCAAATTTACCCAGCGAGGGCTGTCTCGGTATTCCGTGAGTTATCTTCGCCTCTTGGGAAAAAGAAATACTCCTGCAACAAGTACCTAAAACGTCAGAACCACAGGAGCTGGAAAGTTTTGGAAATCAGTCTTTCCCCAGATAAGTGTGGGGGATTTATACACTCAAAATTTGATCATTTGCTTAATGTGCTTCATGCCATAGGTGAGGCTATTTCTGCAGTGCCAGCTGAACAAGAACAAATGAGCCTGTGGTACTTCAGAACCGGATGGCTCTGTACTCTCACCTCCTGGTAGTTCTTGTTATTCAGAGGGCACCCAAGGTGGTCTAGTTTGCTATGTGTCGGTAGAAGTATGGCTCGTTGTTCTTTTATACGCATCAGGATGAGACTCGACATGGATCCAAATATCTCCCATGAAGTTGAAAGGTTGGAGATCCCCCCCCAGATCGGCGTTCAGGCCCATCTTAAGCCTATTAATGACATACATCTGGGATATAGCGAGGAAGTATCTCAGACTTCTTTAAGGATTTTGAATGGACTTTGAGATTGGGAGGAATGTTTTGGCCGGGCTGGTTGGAACCTTACTTAAGTGGGCTCTTATTATTAGCGGTTATTTATTGGCTTTAATAATAAACATGGAACTGGGCTGGTATTTGTCAGTGCGATGCCAGCAGACCCCGGAAATCAGTGGTGGGCCAATGCCAAGGGGTGGAATGTAATGCCTATTTGAAATATTGCTGTCCTTGGGCCCTTTGTTTCTTAGGGTGATTTTTTACAATAAAGCATCGCTTAGAAACTGCTTAATTTAGATAAGGTTGAGGGTGGTGAGTTGTTGGTGACTTGTTTGTCAAGGCTGCATGGGACTCATCGGTTCTCGATTGATGTCCTAGGCTTCTCCACCGATCTCCTGTGCATTATGATATGTTGCTTCTGTGTGTTGTGTGTAAATACAAAAGTAGAGGTTTTGGACAGTGCAAGAATTTACTGCACGTTGGATTCTGTTTATTTCTTGGGCAGTGCTGAGTGATGCTGCTAGCATGATGTGCCAGGGCAGCTTTACACTTGGTTGTGTTGTCTCTCACATGCTTAGGAATAGAGATGACGCGAAGTATTCAAAAATTCGATTCGGACTGATACGGCTTAATTCGTTAGAAAAATTTCGATTCGAGATAGTCGACATATATTCGCTGTGAATTTTACTTAAAAAAAAAGGGTGTTTCTAGGCTTCAGAGAGACTTAATATTAGTGCTGTACACCGTATCTCTTTAATTTAAATGCCCCTTGGAGTCTGCTGGGGAAGAGAAATAATACTGTCAGGCATGTATGACGATTGCACGATGGAGTGCCTGTCGATCTTAGAATCACCGCACACTTTCACTCATTTTGGCCAGTCACGGGGCCATTCCAAACGAGTGTGGAGCCACAGGTGTGGCGGTGGAGGCGAGCAGCAATGGGGAGGCATACAGCACCCCTATGACAATTATGGAACACCACCAGCAGTGTGAGGAGACCTGAAAGTGGCACATTGGCAGTGTTGTGGCGATAGAGAGACAAGCAGCAATGGGAGGGCCGTTACAGGGGACCCATGTGACCACACTCTGGATCATGACGGCGCGCAGCATTGAGGAGGTCGGTACAGGGGCGCCATGGCAGATTACGGGCCTCGGCAGCAGCATGAGGAGTCGGTACGAAAAGGGGGCACATGGGCAGATTTCAGGGCCTGGCCTGCAGCAATGGGAGGCCGTTACAGTGACCCATGAACACTATCTGGACCCTGGCAGCAGCATGGGGAGGCGGGGTAGGTACAGGGGCCCATGACAGATATTATCGGGGCCTGTACTGGGCAGCAGCATTTGGAGTCGGTACGGGGGGCCCATGACACACTCTGGACCTAGGCAGCAGCCATGGAGGAGGCGGTACTTTTATATTTTGTTTTTTTTTTTATAACCCCCCCCAGGGGGCGGCGCATGACTGATATTACGGGCATGGCAGCCAGCAACTTGGACAGGAGGGACGTTCTAGTTTTCTGCACCGTCTGGTGCTGTGCTCGGCAAACTGTTGTCTCTAGGAAACGGATTCCAAGAAAGACTGCTGACGGGAATCCGTGAAGAGTGTGAGAGTGAGTAGCAGGAGAAGGAGTCATCTGAACGAGACGGAATATGCCACACAAGCGACAAACTGCGAGGCACATGGACAGGATTACGGGCCTGGCAGCAGCATGAGGTGTCCGGTACGGGCGGAGCCCTTGCAGATTAGGGCATGGGCCGGGGGGGGGGGGGGTCTGCAGAAGCTTAGGGGAAGAGGCAGTAATTCTGCCAGAGCACCCTAATGACAAAAAATTGGAACCCCACCAGGCAGTTGGAGGAGACCTGAAGTAGTGGCACATGGCAGAGTGTGGCGATGGAGACAGCAGTCAATGGAGAGGCCGATACAGGGGACCCATGAGAGACTCTGGACGCCTGGCGAGCGAGCATGGAGGAGGCGGTTATAGGGGCCCATGGCAGATTAAGGGGCCTTGGCAGCAGCTAATGGGGAGGCCACGTTAATTCTGCCTGCACCCTATGACAAAAAATGGAAATACACCAAGCAGTGTGAGGATTACTGAAAGTGGCACATGGCAGGAGTGTGGGCGATGGAGACTGCAGCAATGGGAGGCCGTACAGGGACACCATGCAGAGACTCTGAGACTTGGCAAGACAGCATGAGGGAGGCCGGTTATAGGGGCCCATGGCAGATTTGGGGCCTGGCAGCATGCTTTAGGAGCGCCCGTTAATATGGCCAGCACCCTATGACAAAAAATGGAAAAAACACACCAGCAGTGTTGAGGAGACCTGAAAGTGGCACATGTTTGGGGGCATGATTCGATGGCAGGGATTTAGTCAGTTGTGTCAGGAATGGTTTGGTTTGAAATCCAGGGACTAATCAGCCTGATTCATTTTCACAAAACGTCAGTCTCTCCAACTACTTTGGGTGGACAGTCTGTGTCTCCGCGGGAGTTGCTAATACCTCCTGACGCACTAAACACGCGATCCGATGCACACGCTACTGGCCGGGCATGACAGCCTTTCAAGGGCAAATTCAGCTAGTTGGGGCCAAAGGTCAAGTTTTCGGTTGCCCTGTAGTCAAGGGGATTGTCTACCTCGGTTGGCAGGGTGCTGTGTGTCCAAGTAGGCCTATAAGCCTGTTGTTTGAGGTCCTGCTCCAGGTCCACCTGATGCTGCTGCTGCTGGATCGGCTGGTTAGTAGTTTTCCTCCACTGCGCTGTGGTGAAGAAAGCTACTCATCATCGAACTGCAGACTGTGGCAGCAAGCCGGCTGCTGGTGGAGCTGCCACTGCTCCTACCACCAACCCTCCCCTGCTTGCCATGGCAGCGGAACGCGAGCGCACAGGGCCCCACTGTGTCTGAGGATGGACGGTTGGCGGAGGACAGGCAGGAGACCAGCTGACTACATAGGTGGTTTTTATAGTACGTTATTTTGGCCTCCCTCTCAGCAGGTGTGAAAAAGGCCACCATTTTTGAACGGCGGTTAGCGAGGGTCTCCAACAAGGTGGACAGCCAAAAGTCATTCCCTCTGTCTGATGGTTATTATTCGGCTGGTCGCTACGCAAGCAAGCAAGCATGCTATGGGCCATTTGTGCCAAGGAATTGGAGGGACTCTCCTGCCTCCATCTCCTCTGCATACTGCACGGTGCGTCTGGGTCCTCTGTCTCCTCCTCCTCTCCTCTACCAGATGCTCCTGCTTCCACTCTGTACGACGCTGAGTGGAAAAACTCACCCATTTCACTCAATAATTCCTGAGCACCAATTGCCTCTCTACCTCCTCCTCTTCTTCCTGTCTGCCCCCACAGGGGTCATGTGGCGTTGAGATCTGTGCGCCACGTTGTCTACCCGAACCCTGACCAGCCATTGTTAACAGCATTTGTTCAGGACGTGAACAGAGGAATGACGTCGTTATCCCATTAGTCCTGCCGACTCACGAATAGCGTGGCTCCTCAAAGGGCCTGAGCAAGAGCAGGTGTCCGCATAAGCTGCCAATGGGCTGACATCTAAGTTACACACGGAGTACCTTTATCCGCTTTTAACATCAGGAAATTGGTGATGGCCTTTCGTGCTGTTCGTAAAGGCGGTCTAACATATGTAGGGTTGTATTCCACCTCTTGTTGCATACGTCAACAGCTTGAGGACGTCGGGTACGGGGGCCCATGGCAGAGTTACGTTGCCTGGCAGCAGCAATGGGAGGCCCGTTAATTGCCAGCACCCTATGTCAAAAAAAAAATTCAATGACACCAGCAGCGTGTGAGGAGACCTGACCCAAAGTGGCACAGAATGGCAAGAGTGTGGCTATGGACGAAGTGGCAGGCAGCTAATGGGAGGCGTGACAGGGACCTATGTCATGACACACTCTGGACTTGGCAGCATGGCAGCGAGTGGGATGAGGACAGGCAATGGGGTTTTTCGGTGGGCGTATAGGGACCATGGACAGATTAGGGGGCCTGGCAGGCAGCTATGGGAGGCCCTATGGGTAAGCCGTAATCCTGCCAGCCACCCTATGTCAAAAAAACATAAAAAATTCTTACACTCCAGCAGCGTGTGAGGAGACCTGATGAAAGTGGCACATGGCAGAGTGTGGCGATGGAGACAGCAGCAAATGGGAGGCCCGTACAGGGACCCATGACAGACTCTGGACTGGCAGCAGATGAGGAGGCAGGTAATATAGGGGCTATGGCAGTTAGGGGCCTGGCAGCAGCTATGGGAGGCCCTTAATCTGCCAGCACCTATGTCAAAAAATTCTACACACCAGCAGTGTGTTGAGGAGACCTGAAAGTGGCACATGGCCCAGAGGTGTGGCGATGGGAGACAGCAGCATGGAGGCCGTACAGGGACCCATGACAGACATCTGGACCTGGCAGCAGCATGAGGACGGCGGTATATAGGGGCCCATGGCAGATTAGGGGCCTGGCAGCAGCATGGGAGGCCCGTAATTGCCCATCACCTATTAATGTCAAAAAATTCTACACACCAGCAGTGTGTGAGGAGACTGAAAGTGGCACATGGGCAGAGTGTGGCGATGGAGAAGACAGCAGCAATGGGAGGGCCGTTACAGGGTCCCATGAGCGACTCGGGACTGGAGCAGCAGCGATGAGGAGGCGGTATATAGGGGCCTATGGTAGATTAGGGGCCTGGCAGCAAGCTATGGGAGGCCCGTAATCTGCCAGCACCCTATGTCAAAATAATTCTACACACCAGCAGTGTGGTGAGGAAGGAGACTGTAAGTGGCACATGGCAGAGTGTGGCGATGGGAGACAGCTGCAATGGGAGGCCGTACAGGGAACCCATGAGAGACTCTGGACCTTGGCAGCAGCATGAGGAGGCGGTATATAGGGGCCTATGGCAGATTAGGGGCTCTGGCAGAGCTATGGGAGGCCCGTAATCTGCCAGCACCTATGTCAAAAAATTGAACCACAGCAGTGTGTGAGGAGACCTGAAAGTGGCACATGGCAGAGTGTGGCGATGGAGACAGCAGCAATGGGAGGCCCCGTACAGGGGACCCATGAGACAGACTCTGGACCTGGCAGCAGCATGAGGAGGCGGTAGTATAGGGGGCTATGGCAGCTTAGGGGGCTGGGCAGCAAGCTTTGGGAGGCCCGTAATCTGCCAGCACCCTATGTCAAAAATTCTGACACACCAGAAGTGTGTGAGAAAGACCATCTGAAAAGTGGAACATGGCCAGAGTGTGGCGATGGAGTGACAGCAGCACATGGGAGGCGTACACGGGACCCATGAGAGACTCTGGACCTCTGGCGAGCAGCATGAGGAGGCGGTATAATTAGGGGCCATATGGCAGATTAGGGGCCTGGCAGCAAAGCAGTATGGGAGGCCTCGTAATCTGCCAGCACACTATGTCCAAAAAATTCTACACACTCAGCAGTGTGGTGAGGAGACCTGAAAAGTGGCACATGGGCAGAGTGTGGCGATGGACGACAGCAGCAATGGGAGGCCGTACAGGGACCTAATGAGTGAAGACTTGGAGCCTTGGCAGCAGGCAGCATGAGGAGGCGGGTGGTATATAGGGGCCATGGCAGATTAGGGGCCTGGCAGCAGCTATGGGAGGCCCGTTATCTGCCAGCACCCTATAGTCAAAAAATTCAACACACCAGCAGTGTGTGAGGAGAACCTGAAAGTGGCCACATGGCAGAGTGTGGCGATGGAGACAGCAGCAATGGGAGGCCGTACAGGGACCCACATGACAGACTCTGGACCTGGCAGCAGCATGAGGAGGCGGGTGGGTATATAGGGGCCTATGGCAGGATTATGGGGCTGGCAGCAGCTATGGGAGGCCCGTAATCTGCCAAGCACCCTATGTCAAAAAATTCTTACACTTCACCAGCAGTGTGTGAGGAGACCTGAAGGAGTGGCACATGGCAGAGTGATGGCGATTGGAGACTAGCAGCAATGGGATGGGCGTACAGGGACCCATGACAGGACTCTGGACCTGGCAGCAGCATGACTGAGGGAGGCTGGTATATAGGGGGCTATGGCAGATTTAGGGGCTGGCAGCAGCTATGGGAGGCCCATAATCTGCCAGCTACCCCTATGTCAAAAAATTCTACACACCAGCAGTGTGTGAGGAGACCTGAAAGTGGCACATGGCAGAGTGTGGCGATGGAGACAGCAGCAATGGGAGGCCGTACAGGGACCATGACAGACTCTGGACCTGGCACGCAGCATGAGGAGGCGGTATATAGGGGCCCATGGCAGATTAGGGGCCTGGCATCAGCTATGGGAGGCCCGTAAATCTGCCAGCACCCTATGTCAAAAAATTCAACACACCAGCAGTGTGTGAGGAGACCTGAAAAAGTGGCACATGGCAGAGTGTGGCGATGGAGACAGCAGCAATGGGAGGCCGTACAGGGGACCCATGAAAGACTCTGGACCTCCCCCGGCAGCAGCATGAGGAGGCGGTATATAGGGGGCCTATGGCAGATTAGGGGCCTGGCAGCAGCTATGGGAGGCCCGTAATCTGCCAGCACCCTATGTCAAAAAATTCTACACACCAGCAGTGTGTGAGGAGACCTGAAGTGGCACATGGCAGAGTGTGGTGGCGATGGCATGGACAGACAGCAGCAATGGGAGGCCGTACAGGGACCCATGAGAGACTCTGGACCTGGCAGCAGCATGAGGAAAGCGGTATATAGGGGGGGCCTATGGCAGATTAGGGGGCCTGGCAGCAGCTATAGGAGGCCCATAATCTGCCATGTATAGCACCCTATGTCAAAAAATTCAAACATTGACACCCAGCAGTGTGAGGAGACCTGAAAGTGGCACATGGCGAGTTTGTGGGATGAGACACTGTGGACCCTGGCAGCAGCATGAGGAGGCGGTATATAGGGGCCCATGGCAGATTAGGGGCCTGGCAGCAGCTATTGGGAGGCCCGTAATCTGCCAGCACCCTATGTCAAAAAAATTCTACACACCAGCACCAGTGTGTGAGGAGACCTGAAAGTGGCACATGGCAGAGTGTGGCGATGGAGACAGCAGCAATGGGAGGCCGTACAGGGACCCATGAGAGACTCTGGACTTGGCAGCAGCATGAGGAGGCGGTATAGGGGCCCATGGAAGATTAGGGGCCTGGCAGCAGCAGTATGGGAGGCCCGTAATCTGCCAGCACCCTATGTCAAAAAATTGAACACACCAGCAGTGTGTGAGGAGACCTGAAAGTGGCATATGGCAGAGTGTGGCGATGGAGACAGCAGCAATGGGAGGCCGTACAGGGACCATGAGAGACTCTGGGACTTCGCAGCAGCATGAGGAGGCGGTATATAGGGGCCCATGGCAGATTAGGGGCCTGGCAGCAGCTATGGGAGGCCGTAATCTGCCAGCACCCTATGTCAAAAAAATTGAACATACCAGCAGTGTGTGAGGAGACCTGAAAGTGGCACATGGCAGAGTGTGGCGATGGAGACAGCAGCAATGGGAGGCCGTACAGGGACCATGAGAGACTCTGGACTTCGCAGCAGCATGAGGAGGCGGTATAGGGGCCCATGGCAGATTAGGGGCCTGGCAGCAGCTATGGGAGGCCCGTAATCTGCCAGCACCCTATGTCAAAAAAATTTGAAACACACCAGCAGTGTGTGAGGAGACCTGAAAGTGGCACATGCATGAGACACTGTGGGACCTGGCAGCAGCATGAGGAGGCGGGTACAGGGGGCCCATGGCAGATTAGGGGCCTGGCAGCAGCTATGGGAGGCCCGTAATCTTTCCAGCACCCCTATGACAAAAAATGGAACACACCAGCAGTGTGTGAGGAGACCTGAAAGTGGCAACATGGCAGAGTGTGGCGATGGAGACAACCCACCGACTGTTTTGCTCGCTGCCAAGCTGCCACCCCTCTTCTCCTGATGATGCGGAAGCAATAGCCTGATGACGACGAGGCTGCCAAGGTGCGATCAGCCTCATCATCATCAATTAGGGTCTCCGCCTCACTACTAGCCCCCCTCGGCTGCGTGCGTGTGGGTCAGGAGACAGACCTGTCTCTAGACCGGCTACCGAGCCACTCTCCTCGCCACTACTTCTTCGCCTGGCTGCTGAAGAGGCGGATGTCTCCCCTCGTTCCTGACCGCCCTCTGTTAGCTCTTCCTCACTGTACTGGATGACACCTGGGGAGCACTGGCCTCTGGCTGCGAATAGATGCTGCTGCCTCGACCCTTCCTCTGCTGCCACGTCTGCTCGCTCCTAAAACATTGCCTCCTCTGCCACTCCTCTGCATGTTGTCTGACATACCTTACATCTCTTTAATTAAACGATTATGTGTTGCCCTGAGTAATTTGCTGCCAAGTAACAATTCTGTGTCCCTGAGTGTAACAATTCTGTGTCTGTGCGAGTAACAAATTCTGTGGCCCTAAGTAACAGTTCTGTGGCCCTCAGTAACAATTCTGTGTCCCTGATTAACGTTTCTGTGGCCCCAAGTAACAGTTCTGTGGCCCTCAGTAACAATTCTGTGTCTGTGCGAGTAAGAATTCTGTGTCTGTGCGAGAGTAACAATTCTGTGGCCCTAAGTAACAGTTCTGTGGCCTCAGTAACAGTTCTGTGGCCCTGAGTAACATATTCTGCGGGTGTCTGTGCGAGTAACAATTCTGTGTCTGTGCGAGTAACTCAATTCTGTCTGTGCGAGTAGTAACAATTCTCTGGCCCTAAGTAACGGATCTGTGGCCCTCAGTAACAGTTCTGTGTCCCTGTGTAACAATTTCTGTGTCTGTGCGAGTAGAGTGAGGAACAATTCTGTGGCCTAAGTAACAGTTCTGTGGCCCTCAGTAACAATTCTGTGTCCCTGATTAACGTTTCTGTGGCCCCAAGTAACAGTTCTGTGGCCCTCAGTAACAATCTCTGTGTCTGTGCGAGTGAGTAACAATTCTGTGTCTTGTGTGCGAGTAACAATTCTGTGGCCCTAAGTAACGGTTCTGTGGCCCTCAGTAACAGTTCTGTGTCCCTGTGTAACAATTCTGTGTCTGCGCGAGTAACAATTCTGTGAGGGCCCTAAGTAACAGTTCTGTGGCCCTCAGTAACAGTTTGTGTCTGTGCGAGTAACAATTCTGTGTCTGTGCGAGTAACAATTCTGTGGCCCTAAGTAACAGTTCTGTGGCCTTCAGTAACAATTCTGTGTCTGTGTCTGTGCGAGTAACAATTCTGTGTCTGTGCGAGTAACAATTCTGTGGCCCTAAGTAAAGTTTCTGTGGCCCTAAGTAACAATTCTCTGGCACTCAGTAACAATTCTGTCTGTCCCTGAGTAACAATTCTCTGGCACTCAGAAACAATTCTGTCTGTCCCTGAGTAAAAATATTCTGTGGCCCTAAGTAAAGTTTCTGGGGCCCTGAGTAACAATTTATCTGGCACTCAGTAACAATTCTGTCTGTCCCTGAGTAACAATTCTCTGGCACTCAGTAACAATTCTGTCTGTCCCTGAGTAAAAATTCTGTTGCCTAAGTAAAGTTTCTGTGGCCCTAAGTAACAATTCTCTGGCACTCAGTAACAATTCTGTCTGTCCCTGAGTAACAATTCTCTGGCACTCAGTAACAATTCTGTCTGTCCCTGAGTAAAAATTCTGTGGCCCTAAGTAAAAGTTTCTGTGGCCCTGAGTAACAATTCTCTGCACTCCGTAACAATTCTGTCTGTCCCGAGTATGAATTCCGTGGCCTAACTAGCGTTTCTTTGTCCCTAAGTAACAGTTCTGTGGCCCTGAGTAACAATTCTGTGTCTGTGCGAGTAACAATTTCTGTGGCCCTAAGTAACAGTTCTGTGGCCCTCAGTAACAGTTCTGTGTCTGTGCGAGTAAACAATTCTGTGTCTGTGCGAGTAACAATTCTGTGGCCCTAAGTAAAGTTTCTGTGGCCTCAGTAACAGTTCTGTGTCTGTCCGTCTGCGGAGTAACAATTCTGTGTCTGTGCGTAAGTAACAATTCTGTGGCCCTAAGTAAAGTTTTCTGTGGCCCTAAGTAACAATTCTCTGGCACTCAGTAACAATTCTGTCTGTCCCTGAGTAACAATTATCTGGCACTCAGTAACAATTCTGTCTGTCCCTGAGTAAAAAATTCTGTGGCCCTAAGTAAAGTTTCTGTGGCCCTGAGTAACAATTCTCTGGCACTCCAGTAACAATTCTGTCTGTCCCTGAGTAACAATTCTCTGGCACTCAGTAACACAATTCTGTCTGGTCCCTGAGTAAAAATTCTGTGGCACCTCCTAAGTAAAATTTCTGTGGCCCAGAGTAACAATTCTCTAGCACTCCGTAACAATTCTGTCTGTCCCTGAGTATGAATTTCTGTGGCCCTAACTAGCGTTTCTTTGTCCCTAAGTAACAGTTCTGTGGCCCTGAGTAACAATTCTGTGTCTGTGCGAGTAACAATTCTGTGGCCCTAAGTAACAGTTCTGTGGCCCTCAGTAACAGTTCTGTGTCTGTGCGAAGTAACAATTCTGTGTCTGTGCGAGTAACAATTCTGTGGCCCTAAGTAACAGTTCTGTGGCCTTCAGTAACAATTTCTGTGTCTGTGCGAGTAGTAACAATTCTGTGTCTGTGCGAGTAACAATTCTGTGGCCCTAAGTAAAGTTTCTGTGGCCCTAAGTAACATTTCTCTGGCACTCAGTAACAATTCTGTCTGTCCCTGAGTAACAATTCTCTGGCACTCAGTAAACAATTCTGTCTGTCCCTGAGTAAAAATTCTGTGGCCCTAAGTAAAGTTTCTGGGGCCCTGAGTAACAATTCTCTGGCACTCAGTAACAATTCTGTCTGTCCCTGAGTAACAATTCTCTGGCACTCAGTAACAATTCTGTCTGTCCCTGAGTAAAAATTCTGTGGCCCTAAGTAAAGTTTCTGTGGCCCTAAGTAACAATTCTCTGGCACTCAGTAACAATTCTGTCTGTCCCTGAGTAACAATTCTCTGGCACTCATGGTGCGCAGTAACAATTCTGTCTGTCCCTGAGTAACAATTCTCTGGCACTCAGTAAAACAATTCTGTCTGTCCCTGAGTAAAAATTCTGTGGCCCTAATTAAAGTTTCTGTGGCCCTAAGTAACAATTCTCTGGCACTCAGTAACAATTCTGTCTGTCCCTGAGTAACAATTCTCTGGCACTCAGTAACAATTCTGTCTGTCCCTCCTGAGTAACAATTCTGTGGCCCTAATAACATTTCTGTGGCCCTAAGTAACAATTCTCTGGCACTGAGTAACAATTCTGTCTGTCCCTGATTATGAATTCTGTGGCCCTAACTAGCGTTTTCTTTGTCCCTAAATAACGATTCTGTGGCCCTCATTAACAAGTCTGTGTCCCTGAGTAATGGTTCTCTGTCCCTAAGTAACTTTTTTCTCTGTCCCCAATTATCGTTTCTGTGGCGGGCCCTAACTCTGTCCCTGTCCCTAGTACAGAGCGGTCTGCCTCTGTTCAATAACTGCAGGCAAATGAAGAATATTCCAAAATGGCCGCTATTTATAGCTCGACCATTACACAGTGCTGACTGGGCTGGCTGCTGATTGGCTGATGCGATCACATGTAGTTGAGGAATGCATTATGGGTCAGCGCGCCTTGTCTGCGCGCCTTCCCAGACATCCCCGCTCCGTCGCCGCACATGTCAGCCGCCATTTTCTGAAAAAATTTCGATTCGCGCGCCGTCCGAATTAGGCTATTTTTCGGATTCGGCACGAATCGAAAATTTTTTCCGATATTCGACTCGAATTCCACTTCGGATACTTCGATTCGCTCATCTCTACTTAGGAACAATGGTATAAGGCTGGTTGATTGTACCTGTGTATTGTGTGTGACTTGCTTTTGGTTTTTGTGTCCAACCTTGTATTACAATGTGAAAAAAGATATCAGTCTCACCAGAGGAACTATCACTCTGCCTCATTCAATATATAATGTATAATTGACCTCAGTCATTGCTGCAACAGATGAAGAGAGAGCACAATAAATGTGTAGGTTTTGAAAAAGACAGGGTGCTTTTTCCTGTGGTGCGTGGGAAGCAGACCAACGTACAGAGCGCCCTGCCATCTAAGCAGAATAAAGAGGGTTGTTAACACAGGATTTCCTCTGAGAGGCCATGTACAAGTAAGACATTTAAAATAAGTTTCTTTTTTCAAAGCTGAACAGTGTTTTTTAGTTTACTGGGGATGTTTGAATGCATGTTAACTGTTATTGGAAAAGTGAATTAACCTCCCTAGCGGTATGATTATGTCCATATTTCT